CACAGATTGTGTTTGTCGTGTCAGATCGCAGGGGTTTGACGTTCTGCAATTCCCAGTGGATTTCATTCTCTGGCCAAAGTGAGACTCATGCCCTGGGTAACGGTTTTCTGGAGCATGTGCATCCTGATGACGTAGTCAAGTGCAAGCTTCCCGAGTTAGATGAACACGGAGTCGCCAATGTACCCACTTCGATGCCTGCAGATCACGGTCGAACCGACTCCAACTCATCTGACGCTTCATCGGAGACTGAGAGAACAATCACCAGCCCGGGTGGATCAGTACCAGACCGCATGGATATGCCTCAGGCCAAATTGTCCAAGCTAGCAAGCACTGGTATACTCAGGGTTGTAAAGGATGCGGATGGACGGGCATCGTATTCCACCGAAGTGCGACTCCGCAACAAAGACGGTGACTACAGGTGGCACCTGGTCAGGATCCTGTTGGAGAAGTCACTTTCTGAAGACGGCGATGAAGAGACCTGGTATGGCACAGCTACCGACATAAACGACCACAAGCTGCTCGAGCAGACATTGAAGGAAACGATGGACGCAAAGTCCAAGTTCCTTAGTAACATGTCTCATGAGATCCGCACTCCCTTGAATGGTATCTCCGGCATGGTCAACTTCCTGCTCGATAGCGTGCTCAACTCTGAGCAGTTGGAGCATGTCAACATCATAAAAGCTAGTACCGACAGTCTGCTGAACCTCATCAACGACATTCTCGATCTGTCAAAGGTCGAAGCCGGTATGATCAAGCTGTCCATGGAATGGCTCCATCTGCCGTCGCTTCTTGAAGAGGTCAATGACTTGAATATGGGCTTAGCCATACAGAAAGGCCTTGAACTCAACTACCTCGTGGACGAAGGTGTGCCAGCAGAGGTCAAGGGTGACAAGTTCCGCATTCGCCAAGTTCTTCTTAATGTGGTTGGCAATGCAATCAAGTTCACCGAGCGAGGAGAAATCTTTATCCGATGCAGATTGCAACCACCGGATCGATCCCGGCCCCTGCGAGACAACGAGACCATGGTTCGGTTCGAAGTGGTGGACACCGGTCAAGGCTTCACAGATGCTGAGGCCAAGTACCTGTTCAAGCGATTCAGCCAAATCGACGCCAGCAGTACCCGGCAACACGGCGGAACAGGACTCGGCTTGGCTATTTCTATGCAATTCGTGGAGCTACATGGAGGTAGAATGGATGCACGAAGTACGCCAGGCAAGGGTTCGACTTTCTTCTTCACGATCAAGTTTGGGCTTCCCACTGCCGACGACTTCCCCAGGCCGCAGGTGTCGACACCAGGCACGCCAGCTTTTGAGACACCGCTCGCAGTGCCAGCAGTGCCTCCACTACCCCAGCCCTCGGCTCTTCAGAAATTTGTTCAGTCACAAAATCCTAGCCAAGCACAGATCAAGCGTGTATCAAGCGTCTCCTCGGACAAGAGCGAACCTGTCAGGTCGCCTGCATCTAGTCTGTCAGCCTCTGAGCGTTCGCGCGACTCTCCATCTCTTTCTTCTGGTAGCTCGGATCACTCTTTGACAAGCGCCGCACTTACTGGGCAGTCGAGTCTGCGTTCGGAAAGATCTTCTGCGTCTTCATACATGCAAGAAGCCAAGCCAGCTCCAGACCCGGACATGAAACTCGCTCTGCCTCCCAAACGAACCGACAGCGAGGAAGCCCCCAAGCCCGACTCTTCAACCTCTATCGATTCGGACAAGACCCTCCGCGCGTCCTCACCGCATCGTAGTCTTTCACCGCTTGGTAGTGCCTTACAACCTCCCATGTTCTCTATACTGGTGGTTTGCCCGCTGGAACACAGTAGGGAAGCTACGATCCGACACATCAGGAACACGCTTCCTCAGGGAATACCTCATCAAGTGACGGGTCAGGCCAGCGTCATCGAGGCGCAGAAGATGATGGGTGGCGACAATCCTGTGCTATTCACACATGTTGTTCTCGTGCTGCACGACACTGCCGAGGTGCACGCCATCGTGGACCAGATCTTCAGCTCCATGGCGTACGGCAACACATCCGTTGTCGTGGTCTCGGATCCGTCACAAAAGAAGGAGCTGATCAAAGAAGCGCCGGTCTATGACTACGAGCAGCTTCACATGGATCGACGCCTCCAGTTCATCTACCGGCCTCTCAAACCTTCGAAGTTTGCCATCATCTTCGACCCACAGAAAGAGCGTGAGTCTAGCACGGATCGCAATCAAGACAGCGCACAGCAGGTCGTTGTCAGCCAAAAGCTCGTCTTTGAAGAACTCAAGCGCCGCGTGGGTGGCAAGAACCACAAGGTCTTGCTGGTTGAAGACAACAAGATCAACCAAACGGTTAGTGTCCTCTACATGTAACTTCTTGCGCATACTGATAGTCTTCAGGTCATCTTGAAATTCCTTGCCAGGATCGATATTGAAACAGAGACGGTACAGGATGGTGTTCAAGCTACCGAGACCGTCTTTGAAAAGCCACCAGGCTATTACTCGATCATTCTCGTAAGTAGCAACGTCTGTTTCCTTCGGATAGCACTAACGCCGTCCAGTGTGATCTACACATGCCCAACAAAGACGGGTATCAAGCCTGCAAAGAAATACGGCGGTGGGAGAAGAAGCATAGCTACCGCCGCCACCCTATCATTGCGCTTTCTGCGAACGTCCTCGGTGATGTTTACGCAAAGTGCGTGGAAGCTGGCTTCAACTCTTACGTCACGAAGCCGGTGGAGTTCAAAGAACTCTCTCTTGCCATGACCAAGTTCCTGGATCCGGCCGACCCTTCGAAACAGCCTGCTCTCATGAAGAAGAAGTGAGAGTGGGTGACTTTACCTTTACGCACACGTACACATTGGATCGAGGCACGGTACCCGATTTTGCTCCTACCTGCATCAGCGAACGGCGCAGTTGGGGAGCCACTGGACGTGCTACTAGGCACACCGGACATGACAGTGGTCCACGTTGCTACCATCGCACTAGAGGCGCTGGTTGTTACTTGGGATGCTTCTCGCATCTCATATCCTTAGTTTGGTTATGCAGTTGGATTGTTAATGGATGTAATGTTTTCAAGGCGAATGCATGAGCATTTGACGGCGTATTGTTACTTTGGAGCGAACGCAGCTGGTGGAGGATGATTCCCCGTGGTATGGTTCATTAGGCGGCATTATGGCAGCAAACTCTGCCTTGGGATAGAAAGAGGGGGGATATTACACATGGACTTGATACCTTGACACGCAGCGGGGATGACTATGCTGACGCAGCGCTACGGATGAGCGCAAACTTGTACAATAGCAACGATGTAACGGAGACGAGAATATACTCAAACCACCAATACCGATGCTCAGCTTCCTCATTTCCGTCTGGTGGTGCGATGAAGATGTCTCACGCGACCGTTGTGGACGCGCTAGACATGCATCTCGCGTCAAGAACGCCTTCTCCACCCCCCAAAACCCGCAATGCAAACATCACCACTTTCTCCGCGGGTTAGTCATCTCAGCGCTGATTGGCCGGACATTGATGCATCTGACATGCGCATGGCGCTAATTGGTGGATACGAACAGGGGTTCGTGTTGTCGTCATTGTCTGCCGGAGCTTCCTCATCGCCTAAAATCCGAAGCGCACCCCTCTGGCACCTGTCGCAGGCTGACTCTATATCCTTCCATCTTTCTGAGTCTGTATATCACAGCATGGCTTCTGCGACAGGAATACCACCAAATGCTGCCGCGGCGCGCGGGCAGAGTGAACAAGAGCCGCTTCTAGGCAGAAGAGGAGATGCGAGCCAGATGCATGGGCAGCCTCTCTACCATAATCTGTGGATTGGTATGTGCTGTCAAGCTGCGAAGCATGTGCTGCGAGGAAGGACACTAACAGACTCAGGTACCGCTCCAATCGCGCAAGCAGGAATATGGATCGTAAGCACCTCACCACCTCGCCTACCCCGTCGATACTAACGCGTCAAAAGCTCGCAGCCATCATCTGGGGCGCCATCTTCTCCAACAAACTCATCTTCTTCTCCGCACACCCAGTAAGCCCCCATTGCCGCCCCTCAAACCTCGACCACCACCAACTAACCGCCCAACCACGCAGCTTCTCAACTCCGTAAGCCACAACACCACCCTAATCACCCCCTCCCGCCAACCGTATCATTGATACCCCCTAGGCCGGCTTCCTCCTAGCCATCCAAGCAGCCCTCGTCCTCCAACCGACCCACACCCCCGAACAAAAGCGCGCCGGCACCCTCGCCCACTTCCTCTTCCACGCGCTCGGCGCCTCCGCCCTCACCGCCGGCCTCGTCATCATCGAAATGAACAAAGCCGGCCCCGGCCACGAACACTTTGAATCTGCGCACGCGCGCCTCGGCCTCACCTTTTATATCCTCGTGTACATCCAGGCGATTGTGGGGTTCACGCAGTATTATGTGCCGCAGCTGTATGGCAGTGTGGAGAACGCGAAGAGCATTTATAAGTATCATAGGATGGCCGGGTATGTTATTGCGGTGTTGGGGCTTGCGACGATTTGCGCGGCGACGTGGACGACGTATAATTTGAATTTGGCGCATATTCAGCATTGGGCTGTTATTGTTGCGAGTGTGCTGGTGCTTGTGGGGGTTGTGCCGAGGATTCGGTTGAGTAAGTTTGGGATTAAGACGGGGGAGGGGGAGGTGAGGTTGCAGTAGATGAGGGGGGTATGAGGAATGGATGTGCTTTTGTGGGTTGAAACGATTTATGTGCAGAGAATGAGGACTAGGTGGTATATCCGGAATACGTGTTTGTTAGGAGTCATGGATGCGGCGTTGCATAACCAGGCGTATTATTACGTACTCGGTGCTATCGCAAACAGAAGTGTAGCATTTGGGTATTTTGTTTGATTGTCTACTCTTCAGGTATCCAGCAGCCGAATCACCTCTATGCTCCTTAATCTCTTTTCGCCTTGTGGTTTAGATCATGTTCCTCCACCATCTCTGACCCTCCACGGCATATTCGTTCTCCAACCCTTGGGCAGCCATAGTCAAGTCCATCACTTCCAACCAGCCTCCGTCTTCATCTTGAGCAAGCCAAAGGCTAATCCATTGAACTCGGTAAGCAACGCCTCAACCTCAGGCTTCTTCACAAGCTCGGCCATGTGTTCCGCGATGGTCTTCGACACAATGTCCCTTAAACCTTTGTCGTGTTCGGGGGTGGTGGAGAAAACGTGATGAGCCGCGTTTGCGAAGGACGGATCGTTCCAGAAGCTGTGGCAAGCTCGCTTGAACTTCTCAATCACCAGCTCCTTCAAACCAACTACGTCGTACTTGTCCGCGATTTCATACAGCTTAGCGTGGACCATCAGCTGTGTAGACGTGCCGGGGATAGGCAGGGCTGTAGGTGCGACATAGCAGTGCTCACAGGTGAAGCCGAGGCATGTGCAAGAGCAATTTACGCCACAGGTGTGGTGAGTGCATAGATAGCGTTTATCGCAGGAGCTCCCATATGCGCTACAGGAGTGTGGAAACGATGTTGGCGTTGCGGGTACGAACATCTGTCTCGCTACCCGCGATTTCTTGTGCGGTGGTGTGGGAGTCGGGGGTACTGTGATTTTCGTGGAACCGCCCAGCTCGTTGTCGGGAAGAGCAGGATCGTATTCGCCTTCGTAGATGTACTGCATCATCAATTTAACAATAGCGGGTTCGTCTTCTGGGAGATCGACACTGCCTTGCTCAGTCTCCTGGACTAAAGTCAACAGGGCCTTAAGGGCAAAAAGCTTGATTCGTCAAACGTACCTTGCCCCCAAACTTGACAGCTCGAGAGAAGAACTCCGCGCGGGAACACACCACATTTTTGTGAACCTTGTAGGAGTCGGGTCCGCAGGTTACGGTGAGATCAGAGAATTTGCCGGAGGCGAGTAGACTACGAGTCGTTAGTTTAGTGTGTTTTTGTTCAGTGCTCATGTGCGTACTTCTTGAAAGTAAGATACAGCTGATTGCGCGCCGCTTCCGCCATCTTTGCGTTGATCGCGGTTGCAGTGTCGAGTGAGAGAGGAAGCCTAAGAGATCGAGGGTACCAAGGTAGGTTCTCCCTCAACCTTGACGGCCGGCGCGACCTTTTTCCGGGTGCAGCTGATTGTAAAGTGAAGATGAAGCAAAGTTGACGGTGCCGTCAACAATACTTAGACATGCATATACGCATGACTTCAGAGATCAACCGTTAGAAGCGGTAGATGAGGAAGGTACAAGGGATTGTATTGCACGAAGGTGGGGCAGTAGGTGAAATGGTCCTTATTTGGGATTACTGAGGATCGCGTCGCCTAGTATATAGGTTCTTTCCCTTCTACACTCTTGCATTCATGTTCACTCTCAAACTCTCTCATGATTTAGCTCACGCCAATCATTCAACCGTTCTTCCTCGTCAAAATTAGGAGACCCACCGCCAACCCGTTGAGCTCTGTGAGCAGAGCCTCCACCTTCGGCTTATTCATCAAATACATGTGTCTGTTGTTCGTCAGGCTCACTAGAGAGAGCGTGTCCTGAAGAGCGAGTATTGAACGGAACGTCATAGTTTTGTGAGTGAAATAAACGTAAACCACGAATGAAATCTGAGCTATGGATGCTAGTCATGGTAGCTTGCAGCTAGGGACATGTTGTGAAGGTCTTTGGTTGCTCTACTCTTGCAAGATTTCCAAGCGCTTATCTATCACCCGTTCCCTTGTTGAACACTTCCAATGCCACTCCATCAAATGCCAATCTGTCCAATGATCCAGTCGGAGTTGGTGGAAGCATGCCACCTCTCTCTACCAGCCATGCTCGATGATCTTCTCTTCCAGAATACCCAGAGCAAGGCCGTTGAACTCTGTCATGAGGACCTTCACTTCAGGCTTCTTGACCAGTCCCATGTGTGCACTGATCGTGGCACTGACGATATCGCGGAGGCCCTTGTCTGTGTCGACGGTGGTGGAGAAGACATGGTGAGCGGCGACGGAGAACTGGTCCTTGTCCCAGAAATGCTTGCATGAACGGCTGAACTTTTCAATAGCCAGGTCTTTGAGTCCTACGACGTCGTATTTGTCCGCGTATTCGTACATCTTGGCGTGGAGGAGGAGTTGATCGACTTTGCCATTGAGCAAAGGTAGTGAAGGAACCGAAGGGTTGCATTCTTCGCAGTTGAACTTGTCACAGTAGAAAAAGCAAGTTCTATGCATTGAGCAGGTGTGATGCGGGCAGACATTAGGCTGGTTGCAATAGCTGCTGCATCCACCACATGTGTGGGGGAAGTTATAGGTGTAGCGTTCCCCTTCCGGAGAATATGTAGGGCGAGATTCCTGTACCTTTACTGATGATAGGTTTAACGTGGATCCTGTGTCGGGAAGGAACGGCTCGTACTCGCCTTCGTAGAGGTACTGAACCAGAAGCTTAACAATAGCCGATTCATCCTCAGGAAGATCAATAATATCACTCTCAGCTTCCTTAGTAGGCTATCAGTCTCTGCTCCGCTCACGTGGCTCAAACACTCACCTTCCCACCGAACTTCAGCGTGCGGGCAAAGAATTCGGCGCGCCCGCAGACGATGACCTTGTGGACGTTGAAGGTGTCACTACCAGAAGTGATGGTGAGATCGGAGTAGGCGCCTGATTCGAGGAAACTGGCAACGAGTTAGTATAACGCGGATGCAATACAAAGCTCAAAGAAAGTGAGCTTGTAATGAAACATACCCTTTGAGTGAGGTCAGTACTTGCTTCTGAGCAGCTTCCGCCATCTTGCTCGTTTGATCGTGGTCGTGGTGTCGGGCGGAGACAATCAAGGTGTAGAGAGTGATCCTTACGTGAACCTCTTTGAGCGGTCCAACTTTGTTCCGGATATATTTTGTTGCGAAATAAGGTGAAAGAGTGTCGCCTGGACTGTGTGCGTGGAAAAACTACCCGAGCGCAAAGTGTTTGCTGTGTGTGAGTGAAAGACACACTCAAAAAAGCGTGACCAGTAGCCCATGTACGGAGCTCAATGTTGAACAGAAAGCGCTGTAGAACTATACTGAAGTAGTAGTGGAGTTCCGACAAAGATTTTGTGAAATGCATCAACGTCTAACGCTGTTAAAAGAACATATAAATAACAATAACTAATTTATAACCTCGCCTCAACCGCCGTACCTTGCGAAAGAACACATGGAGAAGCGTCTGCAGACTCGCTTTCGAGGCAGCATATAGCTGTGCCGGACTGAAGCCTGAATACCTTTGAAATGCGCCACTATTGTTGGGCCAATTGAGAGACTTTTCCTTTTCCAGGAACGACTGGAAGGTCATGGTAACGAGGTTGTGGAACTGCATGCTGTGACCCAAAGGTTAGTCATTTGCACGTGGAAGGCGTGTCAAACCTTACTGTAGCAGAAGCTGTGTCGGCATGGCGGCATTCTGTGGCTGTAACGGCTCTGGAAGATCACGGAACCATTGAACCAGCATATGATGATAACGACTGGCTTGCTCAATATCAAGGTTGTTATCTCCGTCATCCTCTGGAAGAGCCTTTCTGGCTATGTCGTTCATGATGCATCGAAGCTTGGTGAGCGACAGGAATGTTTGTCCCAGGTAGATGGGAGTCTAGTAGCTTGTCAATTTGATTTATCATGAGGGGCAGGAGGGGCGTACCACATGTGTCGCAAGAGGGCATTTGACTCAAATCTCGCCAAAGAAGTCGTGTGCGTCTTCGTACGCCGGCAAGCCGTCCTCAGGTGGAAGTCGAGACAGTGGGGGCTTCATGAGGGAAAAGCATGAGAACCTGAACCTACATCAGAGGCAATCTCAAGACCACATTGGAGGCAAGGGAAGGGGCAGAAGGAGGGGGACGGGAGGAGGGGAGGAGGAGACAAGGAGAAGGAGAAATCAGGTAAGCTCATACGCTTGCTGAGAGAAGATGCCCCAGGCTGTGATGGTTCTTGAAATGCGGTCCTTCTGGTTCTTGTATTGCGCGGTCTTAGCAAATAAGTCTAGTCTATCCGCAAGCGCTAGGGCGTGTGACCACATTGTCCAACCCATTTTGTCCATGCCATTGGCGAAGTAAATCCGGCCTATGATGGTAGCTGCCTGGGCAGTCGGAAGACTACACACGGCCTGTGACTGCTCCAGCTCCCATAGCTGTCTGGTCTCAGCCATACACCGATAGCTACAGGTGTTGGGATTCCAAAACTCAGACCTCTGCTCAAGCGTACTCAAGCCGTGCTGTGGATCGTGTTAGTGTTGGCTCACGAGGAAGCGACTGAAGGAGTGAGATAAAACCTACGCAGGCAGCGCTGATAACGGCATTGACTAGGAGTGGTGAACAGTAATCAGACCGTCCAGCAGTCATGTCGTCGAGGAAGTGGTCTTTGTGGAAGCAAGGCCACAGAGGGAACTCGTACAGGAAGTAGCCTTCTAGAAGGCGGATGAGAAAGACGTCGTCATCGCTTAATGAAGTCCACTTGGACGGCCTCAGGGTGTCTGGCGCCATGCGTGGATCGTACATGCGGGCACCGGGATAGGGCACGTGGTAGATGGCGCTGTGAGTCTGCTCTTGGATGTCGGTGCCGTGATGGGCAGTCTCGTCCGACAGGGCCTTGTACAGTCTGGAGGCAAGGTAGGGATTGTCGGCAGCGTCAAACAGCGGCATCATGTCAGCAAGATAGGGAGCGGTGAACTGGTACGTCGTGTTTGGGACCAGCTTGAGCTGGACAAGCAGACTGCCATACTCAAGGAAGCGGAGGAGGGTGCGCACGTCGGTGCCGCGACGCAGCTGGCTGGGAGCGCAAATGGGCGAAGATGTGCTGGAGTAGTGCATGCTGGGCATGATGATGCACCTGGGCCTGGCCATGGTACCGCCTGGCACTGGCAGCGACGGGCCGGACCGCAGGCTGACGGTAGTTGCATGGCGTGTGCCGCTTCCGGCACTCTGAGCACTGGGGACGTTCGGTCGAGCACTGGTCGTGTCAGAGGCGTGGGTGGGTTTAGCTCGCGCACGGCCGCCGACTTACCTTGGTGATGCGGCCGCGACAAGCTTCACATGCTCCTGCGCCCACAATCCGCTGCAGACTCAACGCAGGCCGCGCCCGAGATAGAGCCGCGCGCTGGGTGAGCTGCGAGCGGGCTGGAGGCAGGTTCTCGTCCATGGGCAGTAGCTGGCTCACCTGTCAGGCCGATATGCGATTCGGGTCGTGGCCGCGCCGTCTTGAATATTGCTATTATACTGCACGTGGGTGGTGCAGGGCTCGCGGACCTCGACCTCCCTCCTCGCCTACGTACGTGCCTGCCTGCTCGTACACAACATGACGTCGCCCGCCTCGACGCCCATTGGCCACGGCACAAAGCGCCTAATAGGCGCCCTCCTCGTCTCGAAAACTACCCGATTCTGGCTTATAATGGTCAACGCGTAAAGGTTGTCTGCCGGAATGCTCCCCCGTTCCGTCACCACGACGCAGCTGCTACTCCGATAAGGACTGCACTCGTAACTCCACGCTACGACATCTAGGCGGACCGTCGTCTCCGCCTCAGTCTTTCCCTCTACCTCCGCCTCTGCGCACGTGCTTCGCCCCTTCTCCCAGCACTTGCAGGTGGTCACGTCCGAGTGAATGGACAACGGCCGCTACCCGCCCGAGGGCTCCAGCTCCAGGGAGGCAAAGGTAGCCATACCAAGAATTCCTGGCCATGGATACCAGATGCCGCCTGCCACAAGAACTCCTCGGGTCCGCACCGAAGTAGTGAGCAAGGCTGTGAGTAAACTCTCTTGTACGATTGGGCCGGTGCTGACGTCCGCTTCTAGTGCGCGCAGTGCCGTAAACGAAGTGGGCCCTTCCTCATGTCCAGATCGCACAACTTCGGCTTGCTGACTAGCCCCAGAGATCAAATGCTCTGGCCACCGTCCGCAATGTATCAACTGTCAACGGCAGGACAATGATTGTCACTACGACCTGGAGCGCAAGGACCGCCTCAAAGGGTCTGTTCATGTCTTTGTTCATCTGCTCCACATCCCCATCTGACTATCAAAAGAGCTCAACGCAAATCGCACGCCTTGACTGCACTCTTGATTGAAGTGAGCAGCCAGCTTGACGATGAGAGCAAGAAGAGAGTTGAGGATACCTTGGCATCTTTCGAAGACGACACGCCGCCTCCTCCACCAACACCTGCTCTCTCTCATGGCAAGCGCGCAAGAAGAGCTTCGTCACCTTCCCCCAATGACGATGCTCTGAGCGCCACCTCTGTAGATGGGGGAGAAGCTCACGTCTCAGCTTCAGTCGGCTCCAACGAAGATCTAGACTTCGTCCAAGAGGACATTCTCAATACGGATGAGGCAGACAACACGGGCTACATGGGTCACAATTCGCACGTTCAGTGGCTCAGAGCCCTGGAAACCAAGATCGAACAGCCCGAGGGCGAACCTGCCAACATGCCTTACGGGCCACCGGGCGTCGACGGCGACGCCTTTAACCAGCGTGCTGAAGCGCTTCGCGGGCGTCAGCAACAGAGCCATACTCGCCCTTCTCCGCACCATGACAAGTTTTCTGGCTACTACTTTTACCTTGACAAATCCAGCATCGACATCGATGTTGGTGATCCACACGTCATACCCTCTGCTGAGTCGGCTGAGAGGCTGTTCGACTACTACAAGGCAGTTGTGCACAGCCCATTCCCCATCTTAGGTGACATGTTCGAAGCTCAACTGAAAACGTACTTTGCCAAGGATCAGGGCAGTCCTACGCTGGTCGTCTGCCCAAAGTGGAAGGCTGTTATGAACCTCGTATTCGCTATTGGTGCACGCTATTCTCATCTCATCGGCGCCGAATGGCAAGCCGACGATCGTGATCACCTAGTGTATATGTGGAGAGCAATCCATTTATTGCAGCTCCAAAGCATTGATACTCTCGTTGCGCAGCCAGATCAAGCGCTGATTCAGGTAAGATCCATTGAATTTGGACCCAACATCTTTTGACCCATGTCTAGGCATTTGGGCTTCTGTCTTTCTACTACTTGACAATAGGTCATGTTAGCAGGTACGTCGTGCTTCGGATGAACGAAGGCACATTCACCTTTGTAGCCTGCAAGTATGCTAACAAGGACGTTGCAGAGCTTGGTACATGATTGGCATCGCCCTTCGACACGCACAGGCCGCAGGCTTGCACCTCAGACACGAAGACCCTTCCATGTCTCCCAAGAGAAAGAAGGCCCTGGCCCAGATTTGGTGGTCACTTTACTCCATCGAATGTGTTCTTACTTGCATAACTGGGCGCCCACGCACTGTAAGCGCTATTGACTGTACTGTACCGCCACCAGGCGCAAAGGGTACAGAACTGGATTCATCATCTCGTGAAACCACCACATCAGCTGCAATCAGACAGGCATCTGAGTCTTCTGCTGGCGAGTCCATGATCAAAACCAGCGTAGATCCGTTTGACGTAGCCTACGTTAGGATTGATATCCTCATGGACAAGATCTTGTCTGGCTTGTATTCCGCACAAAAGTCTGCCAAGTCCTGGAAGGCTGCTCAAAAGGAGATTGCTTCGCTGTCTGACGATTTAGAAGCCTGGGCCTTGCATTCCCTGGTTCGGGGTCCAGCAACAGCGACCGCTGCCACTTCAGAGAGCAACCTGAGCCGAGAGCAGGTGCAGCTCTACATCTATTACCACAACGCCAAAATTTACATCACCCGGCCCTGTCTATGCCGGCTAGACCTGCGCATAAAGGGCCAGAGCGAACAGTCGACTCGATTCAACCAGAAATCTGCTGAGGCCTGCATAGGTGCAGCTCTAGATCTCACTTCCATGTTGCCAGATCCTCCCAACCCTGCATGGTTTTACGGACACGGTCCGTGGTGGTGTGCTGTTCATATAAGTAAGAACCTCACACATTGCGATATGGGGCTTGGCTAACCACTCCTATAGTCATGCAAGCCCTTACGGTCTTACTTCTCGAGTTGTCATTGGACGGCATACACTTAACGGTCGAAAAGTCACACATTACAGCCTGCATCGATAAGCTCATACGATGGTTGAATTCGATGAAACCCGTCGACGCAGTCAGCGAGAACGCATACAACATTATCGCCAGAGTCATGAATAAGCAGACCAAAGAAGAGGCGGCCCGTCGTCGACTACCACAGCCACAAATAACGGATCAGCACCAAAAACAACAAGATATAGAGCATATGACTTTTGAATCACAGCAGCGATATCAGCCGTACAGTCAACCTCTTACGTTGCAGCAGTCAGATGTTGCATGGCCAAGCGCTGACCCATTCAATAGCAACATCTACTCGCAGTACAACACAGGCAACTTCTATCTCTACGACGCTCCTGGGGGCGATTATCTGAACGATCCCACCGCTGGGCTAACAGACTATGGCCAGCCACTAAGTCTGTTCTATGGAAATCCCTACGAGTCGACTTTCGATCAGTGGGAATGGGATGCAGCGGCTTTTCAGGATCCAGACCAGCCATCAGGTCTCGGTCAAGATCAAAGCGGATACCAAGGGGGTCAAGGTTATCCAGGGTATGAAGGGTACGATCCTGGTGGTGGCTAAGAGTGTCGCGTACACTTGCCAGCACTATGGATGCAAGAGATATGAACATCGCGCCTCTGGGCACATTCGTTCAGAACAAAATAGAGAGAGATAGAGACAGCGACATGTCTGAGCAATCAGCAACTGTAGTTTCTTTGTACAACACCAAAAAAGCGTGTAGTATACCACACAAATGTTATACATACTACTGTACCAGGCTTACTTCCCTCCCGCAACCATTGAGTGTGTCACGATGTTGGTGCCGTTTTATTCATTAACCCAAGTGTCCTTGCTTATAAAGATGGTCTCAGGAGATTTGTCGCCTTTAATGTTCGTTCACTTTCGTCCCAGCAGAATAGACAGAATGTTCAATGCCAGAATGGTGCTTTGTAACCGTATATACAAGTCTGATGGTGAAAATTCGAGCTTGCACAATACGTTGGTAACAATAGGCGGTCTAGACCTCACAAGCTTCCACATTGAACATGCCCTCAACAACCGGACAGTCCTTTCCATATCGCTCCAGCGCATCCCTTACTGCATCCTCCAAGTGAATAGTCTCCACACCAACGAGCTCATTCTGAACAGTTCGCTTCAATTCCTCGGCATGACCTTCGTCATCGCCCTCGTAGAACTGGTTACACGCGCCCAACCCCTTCATCGCTTTACCCATCTGCGCTTTCTCTTCCTCTCGCTCACCGCCTTGCTTCCACTTCTCCAACACGATTAAAGCGTTTCGGTGGATCTTGTCCACGTCGACGTGCGAGACGGTGAAGGTGGTGTCGAGGAGCTTTTCAAGGGTGCGCAATAGGGTGTTTTGCGTGACGGTAGAAGAAGGGGTGATGGGATCGAGTAGGATGGGGCGGTTGAGGATGGGGTCGGGGTTGTGGAGCATGTTTCCTGCTGCGAGACCCATTGTGGGTAGGGGCGTCCAGTGTAAGGGTTGGTTTCCGGAGCCGTAGATGCGGGCGTGGCGGTTGGGTATGTCTGGTCATCATATGTTAGCGCGATGGTGATGGTTTGGAGTTGATGGGGAGAAGATTACCAAAGCCTGCGGGGCCTTTCATCAACCCTAGTATATGCTGATCAGTATCACGCTTCAAGTCGAATAGTTAGAGGAATTACATACACATATCAAAAAACGGCCCACCATTCAAACTCGTCCACCCCATCTTCCCCTCCCTCCCCAATCCCTCCAGATACTCTCTAATCCTACATTTACCACCCACAAAAGCTTCCGGTAACCTTCTAAACGCCTCTCGCGTGATCTCCCCAACGAATTCATTAGC